GAGGCGCATCTCCATCAAGTCTGTATAAACATAAAGAGCAAACCAATTTTCCGCGCGCGTTCAGTTCACCGCTGTTGACTCCACTTCACTTTGTTCTTCCGATGAAGTGTGATGGAACGATGCTCCGCATCACCCCATGGTTCCCCTCGGGAAGATGGTGTAATTTTTTTTTCACCTGGTGATAGCTAGGGTTTCTTGTATCTTGCTAAATACTGATAAATGCCGAAAATTAACCCACGTGCAGGTTTATCTAAATCAGAAAAAATAATTTCAAAAGATCGAAATGTAAATGAATGAGACAAAAAATAATGCTTCAATCTTTGCTGTGAAGGTGGTAAAACAGCGAAGCTTTAGTATCACCTGCAACGATTGCCCACTGCACTTTAGACCCTTTCTATGGCAAGCGCCACCAAGTGGTGGTCCATTCTTTGATGTGCCAGAAAACTTCCAGTTTATAATAAATAATGAACAAAGGCCAACTTAACTCGACTGCTTGAAATGTAGATGAACCGTCTAACCACCTATTCTCCAGGTCAACACTACAATGACCGGAGTGAATTAGATCTAATAAAATGTTTCGAGTATTCTTGTAAAGCAACTGGGGTCCTTAAAAATGCAATATTGTACAGCCGAAAGCCCTCGTTAAATCTCCAACTTTGTTGCTCATGTAGCATTTATGCTTTCTAGCACTGGTAACATAAGCAAGATGAACAGGCTTGCAAAGACGGGGCGAACGGAAGTTGCTTGGGATGCAAGTGGCAGTTCATGTTTGAAAACAGCAAAGGGTTTATACCAAATGATCGAGGAAAGAAAAGGAAATGCACTGTACCAAAACTTTTTTTATATATGAAAGACTTCGTCCGCTGCCGTTGGTGAGGCAGCTTATGCAACCTTAATCTTTACCGTGAAACACATGCTGGGAGCGCTACGTGCTTCGCATTGTTAGCGAGGCTAGTGACGCCACTCCACACTTCGTACTGTGGCGTTGCCGGGGCAGCTTATGCAACCACAATCTTTACCGAGAAACGCATGCGGGCAGCGCTACGTGCTTATCATCGTTAGCGCACGCATTATAATCTATCACGTGGTGTTGACACTTGTCTTGGGGTTTTCTTATTGACACAAGTGTCAAAACCATATGATAAATGACAAGGCGTGCGCGAACGGTGATAATGCGCGCGCGTGGGTTTTCTGTCGACGGACACGAAAAGACCCGACCACTGAGTCATATAGAGTTTAGCTGTATAAGCTTCGGGAGAAGTAACCCCTCCCTATAGCTCTTCTTTCTGTTTAACCGTATTGGCGGCGAGGCTGCTCCTTCCTTTGGACGCTCTTTTATAGTTTGGTTCTGCTATCGGCACGGGGACGTTATTCAAGTATTCGGTCCACCCGTCCATTCCCCGGAAGTTGGGGGAATTCAGTGTCTTTTTCTTATACCATGGCGTAAGATATTTAAGAGTTCATCGTAAGGCTCCAAGAACGATACGTGATACTCCGCCACCGCTTTTGTGCATGCGTCGTATCGTTATCGGGTATCGTAACCCGGGGTATCGGAGGTATTGAAACGATCTACTAAAACTTTCAATTTATAGGTGAGAACAAACACCACGGAGAGCGCCGCGACGCGAGCGACCAGATAATGTCCTCTCAGCCCGCACCCGAGCAGCCTCAGCCGACAGAGCCTCCGCCGTCCTGACGGCGCAACTCAGAAAACAAGAACCAACAACCCAAAAAGTGTCTGGTTCCCATGGCTCCCGGGCATGCGCTCTTTCCCTCCGGGGTGTCAGATGTGAATTTGACGGACGCTGGCCTGAGCACCGTGCCAGGATTCTCTCCGCTTCAACGCGCCCATAAATCAGTTATTAGTGCCGTTGATGCACGAAACAATGGTCATTGATGAGGTAGTGTCTAAGCAGCACGTGTAGCGAAAGTGTCAGGTTCTACATGATGTTGCGCACTTAGAAAATGACTTTTAAGTCTATTGTGTCTCCCATAAAGAATGGGAAATCGGGCTCGCGAGTCGCAACAGGCTGCCACTAGGCGCATATCGAGGAGCCATCTGGTGGCGCAGCTTGTAATTAAGGCGAGAAGAGGACTTTATCAGGCAGCTGCGACGCGCGCGGTGTCCACACACACACACGCACACACACACATACAAACACACACAAGCACGCGCGCACGCGCGCGCGCTCACACACACACACACACACACATATAGTGGAGAAGAAATTCATGGGAATAGCCTCTGAACGAAACTCTACAGAAAGCCCACAGACCGCCAACTGTACTTTTACTTTCACAGTTCATACCCTAAGCATGGGAGCGGAATAAGATGCCTTTTGCCCGGAATGGAATGGAAATGGATGAGCCAGGTTCTTTATACTTTTTTTATTCATTTATCTTTTTACGTTCAGCTATACGGAACCATTCAGCGAGTCAGTTCTTTAAAAATACAATGAGCGGGAAACTGCAATACCGCGTTAAGCTCTAACAGACTTATAAAAAAAAAAAATGAAATACAAAAACAAGCGTCAAAGCAAAGAACAAAGAGGGGGAAGGGGGGGGGGGGTGGCGGTGGCTCATTTCACCAGTGAAGTTCAACACATATCCGAATGCGTCTGCGCCTGTGATATTGCACGGCTCAAGGGTACGTCATCAGTCGACGTGAACGTGACCCGCTGCTCTGGTGGTCCGATACACAGGAAGAAGGCCAGACGTGGCCTCGCTCTGCTGACCCAGACTTCGTACACCTGCGACTCGTATCGAGCGCGCTGTTTCTCGGAGGGCTCGCACCCGTGCCGGCCATCTGAGGTCGCAATCCATGAAGTCTCTGTTTGGATGATGCTAGGCGAAACTTGAGGACTGCCATTCATGCGTTGGAGGCGGAGGGTCGGCAGGTATGACCGTCACAACAGGAATGCCACCGTATCGATTTTTCATTTTTCAGCCCTAACAGAAGATAAGACGTGTGCTTTAGGATGCTTCAAAAGGTCCAGCTTTCCCCGAAAATTCCAAATGCAACTGCCTACATGGTCTTCAACGAGGCCACCTACAACGAAAGTACGTATTGTTCTTGCATATACAGCCAGGGACGTCACAAAAGGGGTGCGGGGGGGGGGGGGGGGGGGTGCGGACCGCCCCGGGTGCAGAGCTGCGGGGGGTGTCGTGACGGACCACGAGAGGGGGGAGGTGCGTTGCGGCGGGGCGATGAGCGAGGGGGGGGGGGGGGGAGGGTTGTCGCCGCGGGCCGCCGCCCCGGGTGCCGCTTACCCTAGTGACGCCACTGCATACAGCAGCGAGGGTAAAGTTTCATGTTGAAGGCCACACCTACAGATACAAGAATACCAGTTCATTCCACCGTGAAGTCATGTGATCAGTGCTGACAGGGGCGCCCTTATTGGACAGGAGCTTGGTGACGTTTTGATGGGATTTAGGGTGACATGGAATTTATTTAGAGGTCGAAGTCTTTTCGCATGACTGGTCAGTCAGACAGGATGCCAGGGAAGGGACCGGGGTCAATCCCTGATGGAAAGTTTTTTTTTAACCCATTAAAGAATCTTCGTCCGGAACAACTACCTTCAAGACCAAGCCTGCGGGAAAGTAATTTCGAGAAAACAAACAAAGAAACAAACAAAAAAACTCCTATTTTAAAATTAAAGCCTCATCTCAGTTGGCGTCTCAAAGAAATTTGAAAAATGTATTGCATTATCAGTATTTATATTTCTGCCCTCCCTAAAATGTATTCCTGTATTTGTGTTATCGAAGACTCTTTTGCCTCTTTTTAAAATGTAGATAGTTTTGGGAAAACTATCGATAGCATCTCAGAACTGTCAATATTCGACTATCGATAGTACTATCGATAGTTTTTCGATAGTCGACTATCGATAGTTTTTTTTTATTATCGATAGTCAGATTTCTGGCGACTATCCATACTATCGATAGTGCTATCGATAGTTTTGCACCACTACATACTTAGCACCTTGTTTCCAGAGCCACCACGAGCAGTCTACCGACGAGGCAGGAACCTCAAGGACATCTTCGTACAATCCAAAAGCTCACCTTCACAAACGTTTGGTTGCCAGCCTTGCGGAAAGTGGCGATGCCAGTTTGCAACCACATGATACGCACCAACCAAATTATAAGCACCAAATCAGATTTCTGTTTCAAAATTCACGAAAATCTCAACTGCGATAATTCAATCGTCATTTACGTGTTACGATGCAACCTGCGCGATATGGACTACATGGCCAAACCAGAACCCCGTTCAGACTACGGTTTAACAATCACAAATCACACGTCAACTCCCTCCCACAACTTTAATTTCCCAAACACATGAACCTAGCGAACCGCAATTTCGATGCAATAACAGTGATGCTTCTTCAATCTGGATTCAGTTCCGATCGCGAACGTGAAGTAAGAGAGGCGTATTTTATTCACAAATTCAAATCACTTACCCACGGGATTAATGAAAGTCCAGGAATATTTACGCGGCTAAAACAAGCAGCAGAAACCTGCTAACTATTTATATTATTTTTTTTATTTTTTATTACCTTTGTAATATTTTATTTATGATTATTTTGTTCTTAGTGTTTTGATGATGGACGTGGAAACGCGCCAAGGACATGTTTTCTGCAAGGGCAGCAAGACTATGGAAGAGAACTGAATCAAGCCTAGAGAAAAAAAAAAAAAAAGTAATTACCATGACAAAGAGGTGTCCCCGCTCGATACGTTGGACTCATTATATTATTTCAATATGCCTGCTCGTGGATCATTTTCTTCTCCACTATCTGCGTCTACCAGGCCCGTCCCAACCCCTTTTACGTGTAACATACTAAGCGGTGATGAATAAAAATAAAAACTACTGTGGGAACCAGGACACTCAATTAGATACAAATGTGAGGCACGTGCGACACGAAGGTGAAGGTCGAAGCATTACAAAAGCGAACGAATGAACCTGCTGTTTGTTTTTCCCACGGCGGACAGATATATTGACTGGCAAAGCGGGCGTCGTGCCATAGAAGCTCTCCATCCAACATCTCAGCGTCCGATTCTAGAATCTGCGTGAAAATGACGGCATCCTATTTATTTCTCATTGCCCTCAGCATCGCAGGTATGGCATGTATTGCGATTCATCATTGCTATGTCCCCAGTGACGACGTTTCGGCAGGATGGATACTCTAAATGCCTTAATAAGATAATAGACCGATCACACTAAATCTTCGGTGCATGCGTGACTACGCCATATGTTTATGTCACGGGAGGCAAATGACAGCGCGCGAGAGGGTTGGTGCTATCTCGTGCTCTACATGCGCAGATCTCCAGTGAGGTTCGGGCATGTGCAGAAGGACTAAAGTTCCCTCGATGCATTGCGGCTGCCGAGGCTTAGTGAAACTGACTGGTGAGATTATTGAAGTCACTAGTTTAAAAACTACCCTTAAAGGTCGTACATTGGAGTGTGTGTGCAAGAGGTTGTGTGCATCTCAGTGGGAATGAAGTTCGACTTTTTGGTCAGTGCTGCCCGACTTGTACTTGCAAATAAAAAAAAGAGCAATTAATACATTTGGTTTTATTTTATGTCACATATAACGACTACAAAGTTTTACAAAAATTTAGTGCCAACGAATACTTGATATATACTTCAGTTTGATTTTTAATGTGAAGGATTAACAAATTACACGCAACAAATGCTGCACCCGTCTTCCGCCTGTTTTTTTTTTATTTTTTTAGCTCGTTTTTTTTTTCGTCAAACCTATGTTGAACTTTTATGAACTTTGCATTACAAGTTAAAAAAAAAAGTTGAACCCGCTTCAACTCCAACCTTTAAGGTAATTCGGTATCCCATCAAGACTGCTAAGAAATAACTCCTATCCTTTCATTTGCTTTATGACTCATCATTGCTCTAGGCTTTTGCGATACTGTATATATATATGTTATATTTCCATTTTGTATTTGTACTGCTCTGACGTTACCGCGGGCTATAGTTTCCTCCTTTCCTTGAGTTTCTCTCCTTATAAACCAGTGCCTGCTCTGCTTCTTGGCGACGATAGAGAGAAACAATTGTCATGCTAAGTGTGATCAACAGGAACTTGATAATTAACTTCTTGATTTTTGAAGATAGAGATAGGAGTCCAATTATGAACTTGCTGAGCGCCATGAAAACCGATAAAAAAACAATAAATACACAAATTTTCGAAAGGTATGGTGCGCGTGGATAACGCCTTGGCACGCTAAAGTGACCACTCGGGCAGTCGCAAGAGCAGCCGCGCAAAAACCCACCTGGCGTGTTTTTTTTGTTGTTTTTTTTTCTCTTATCACACGCGTTTCGTACCGCCAGCAAGGTGGCCATTGCACAAGTGGTAAGTTTAGCGGACAACCGCGCTTTCCACGCGCAGCAAATCTTTCTAAAATCTACACATTAAGTGATTATCAGAAAACGCTCATCAGGCATCTGATTGAAACCACACATTTGTATTTTCAATAATTAAGAAGAAAAAAATTTACGTCGCAAACTTTCACGCAGGCCTCTGCGTGGGCTCCCAGCACGAGGCTAACTCGTTCCTGGATCGCATCGGGGCGTTCTACGTCAAGAAGCCCGTTGAATGGATGGCCCTCGACCCTGCCCACCTTCCGTGGACCAATTTCTCCGTGAAACACACGTCCCTTCCCGGAAAGAATGTGACCGTCGTGATGGACCACGGCATCTTGCACGGCCTCTCGGGCGCGCTCCAGCGGGTGGGAGACTGCCAGCTGCGCCAGAAGAACAACCAGAACGTGACCGTCACCTGCAACGCGACCCTGGACGGTCTACAGGCAAACTTCAGGGCGTTCGTTCAGCACGACCAGGTTCCCTTGACCACGGCAGGGGCCGACTATCTGGTGGGCCTGTCCAAGGAGGAACGATTGGAGATGGAGTTTACGGTGAAGGATTCGCGGGCCCTGTTCCAGATCACGGCTATCCCATGTGCGTATGGTCATTTCTATGCTCGGCATCGACTACATCGGGCTACGTTTTCAAGGCCCTTTAAAACGTAAAGCCGCGATGACACTGGCTGGAGAGTGTTTCTTCCTTGTTGACGAACCGGTCACACTGGTCATAGAAAACAACTGTCTGCCGATATTCTCTAAACGTACAGACGTATGACGCAAACGTGCTTCGAAAGAGCTTGAGGCGTGTCTTCAGGTAAATATGTTATCATGACAGCAGTCAACACCGTGTCTTTTGTTCGATATATGTGCAGTATGACGGCGGTTTTAGGTGCTGGAGAATATCAGCCATCTGCATTAAGGCCACATCGCCATATCCCTCCGCACCACATAGGTGGTCTGCTATGGTCAACGTTGAGCAGTGGTCAACTCGCCTTCCCAGGTAGCGGAGTCCCTAGGTCAAACATTTGAGTTTTGACTGGGAATTAAGGGCCTTAAAAAGACGAAAGAAACCAACGTAAAGCCGAACCACACCTTTTTTTCGAGAATATGGGTATTTTGGTTTTAATTCGCTAATCAAGTGTCAACGTTAGGCTTCACGTCTGATAGTTTGACTTCGCATCTTTGGGATAAAACTCTAAACGACTGCGGGAGTTAAGCTCCGCTCGTGGTTTGGTTTTAGTTGGTAACTTTGTGCCTCAATTTTCAAACAAGTGCCACCTGTCGGCTTCGCAGCTAGTTCTTCGGCTGATACCTGGCAACTTTGGCTCACGTCTGGCACTTTGGCAGTGATGTGGCGAGAGAGTAAAAAGTCAGGGAAACATGAAATGAAAGTACTCGGGAACTAATTAATGCCTTGGAGCAAAACCGTATTAGTCCCAAGTCGGGCCCTTAGGATTGTCAAGCTTGAGCTAAGTTAGGCGTTGCACTGCGTGCTACTTGGGTTTGGCGGTTACGACAAAGCTTGACGGAAGCTGGAGCCTGGGATGTTATCCATTTTTGTTTTCCGAGCGAAACGGGTGGTGAACATGCGGAGCGTTTTCCGATTTAAAGCCTAGCTTGATCTAGCTTCAGAGTCTCCTTTCGCGTGTGCGTGAATTGAGCGGACGCATCATTACCATGGTGACGGTGATCGTATCACATAGCCTTTATGCGGCCTTTGGACCTGATTAGGTGCGCGCTTGAGCCCTTTCGCCGTGGTTTTCGACTGGTGGAAGAGGTATGCAAAAACGGTCCGAAATGAGGGCATAAAGCAGATGGCCGATTTTTTCCAACGCCTTATATTTTGCGAGCCTTACTCAAAAAAGCATGGTTTTTGGTCATAAGAGTGCCTTTTTTTCTCTCTCTAAACTAGAAATTTAAGGTATTGAAATTCCGTTATCTGTTGGCGACGAAGGCAAAAATTTAATCGGTGGAATTCTCAACCTAGTTTTGTACCGATTTGGGTTGATAACTCTCTAGTTATGGAGGAAAACTAATATGAGCATCATGAATGTTTTTTTAACAAAGTGATAGCGTGTATAAATAAAATGCGTACCTGTTTCATACGCTATAACCCTGAAGTATTTATTCTGAGCGCTGGTTAGCCAAAGTAAAAAAGAGATTCACGTTGTGTATTTTTTAAACATGTATCCACCAGAAGAGATTATGCATATACTGCGTTGAATAAATGGCTTATTTACAGTGCCAAACCGATGCCCCTATACTTAAGATGCAGCTGTCTTTTTGCTCCCAAAACATTCAGAAACTGAAATTTGCCTCATTTAAATAAAATAATTTCGAAACAATGGTTGTGGTATCTACGATCGCCCACGTTGAAAAATAAAATGATTACATCTATCGAATCAAATCTTATTGGTATCAAAGTGACACGTGTCGCAGACAAAAAGCCAAAAACTGCAGTCACGCCGCTCATATATCATAGAAGAAACCCGCGGAGTTTCTCTGCAGAGATGATGATAATTATCTTCGGACGCACCTCGAGCATATTCGCAGCATGTGTATGGTTCAAGCATGCTTCATGCATTCTTCAAACATGCTTCAAACATGCTTCATGCATGTGCACGCTTTGAACATTGCTCCAGACAATTTGTGTGTGACCAATGGGAGAGACCCGTCATACAAGAAAGAAACACTCCACGGAGAATATCTGCAGAGTGCCTTTTGCATGATGCATTATCAGTGCTGCCGCAGCTTTTAGATAGGCTAAACAGGAAGCACGCGATGAAGCTCCAGTACAAAAACTGAATGAACACATTGGAAATCGATCAATTTAATAACATTAAATTAAAAAAAAATGTGATGGTTTACAATGTATCTATATTTACTTATTTTAAATGCCGTCAAGGCCCGAGGGCATTGCATGCGGGAGAGAGAGAGAAAGTACTGATGGGCTACGTCAAATTGAAACACAGCACCTGGCGACCCTAAATCATCCTCATTATCCCGTAATCATCATTATCATCGTACTTCTATTCATTCGCCCATCAACGTACAGCCGTTCATAGTGTGAAAAAAAATGTGTAAAAATAATTACGCTGAAATAGAAAGGAGAAAAAAGAAAGCTCACAAGCAAACAAACTTTGTCACTCTATTTATTTCAGGGAGCCGGTGCAGCCTGAAGCTGTTCAGTGTTTCCTCAATGGACACGGACGTCACGCTAAGCAGAGAACCCACGCTCGAAGACGGGATGAAAAGCAAAGTTTTCGAGAAAGCGCGATCTCGGGTCGCGGAAATGATCAAGGACGTCCTCCAGAGCCACTTCAAAGACGCGCTGGACAAGGCATCCCGAGGAGCGTACATGAGAATAGATTGAGGTGCTCTTTTGCAGACGCATGCAATAAGAAACGGCTTCCTCCTTCTAACAGACATAATTTCATTCAATAAAGAGTTTTATACATGCACTACCTTTAATCTATATTTGTTCTGGTAGGCAAGCATCATTCAAAACGAATGTGCGGAATATAGTTTCTTGGATTTTCACGATTTGTGGCCGTAGGGGTATAGTGACAGCATACTGCAATCTCTTGCATCCGTGCAAACTGGAGAATCGAGCATATCAAGCTTTTTGATTGGCTAACGGCAGCCCTCTTGAAATTTTGTATTGGCTGATGTCAGACATCGTGTAGTTTCGAATGAGACGATATCCACCATTTTCTACTGTCTGATCGGCTGGTATCGGTCATATCTTAGTTTATAATTGGATGACATCAGCCATCTTATAGTATCTTACTTTATAATGTCTACCATCTTGAACTTTCTAATGGGGTGGTGTCGGTCATCTTTAGCTGCCTGACTGGGTAATGGCGGCCATCTTAAAGTTTAGGATTGGGTGATGTTGGTCATCTTGAAGATTCGGATCGGCTAATATTGGGCATTTAAAAAAAAACAACATAAAAGCAAAAACAAAAAAACAAAAAAAACAACAGGTTGTGTAAAATAATTACCTAGGAGTACAGATAGTGCCTGTTTGTAAATGACAAGCTGATTTTGACTGGCGTAATTCACGGAGTGCGGTTTGCTCTCATCGCAACAACGTTAGGTGTTTTTGATTTAATCGCAGCTGTTACTCATTCATGAAATGGCACTTCTATGTTATTTTTCTTTTCCCAGGTTGAATGTATTTTTTTGTGTGTGTCACGTATGTGAATTATGTGGATGGGAATTAGGGTAAACGAAAGCCGACTATAAGAGTGGGTTTACATTCATATTCTCATCAGTCATTTTATTTGATATTTGTCGTAAAGCATACCAGTGGAAACAGTGTTTTGCATGATCTAACTTTTTGAACATATTTATGTGAAAAAATAAAATTTAATAAAAAAAAATAAGGAAAAAAAACGGAACAGGTCTTGACGATATTTGCCTAGTTGAATTTTGCATCGCGCTCAATTTTTTACTTATAGCAACAGAGCCCCAATACTTCTTAGTGTGGTCTATTTATACAATAGCGAAACGCCTTTTAAAATGAATTTTGGTATTTGGAAACTATAAATTTTGCCAATATGTCCAAAGATGATTCTACGGACAATTATGCCAGAAATGTTGGATTGGTTTCCAAACCAATTTTGAGGACAATCATATTTGAAATGTCACCAGACATAGCCAGTGCTATTGTGTAATAAAGAAATTCCCCTGGGTGTCTTTAATATTCTTTTCTACTAAAAAAAAGTTTGAAAAAAAATCTAATTTAAAAACTTCATAAAAATTCAACATGCAGTTCAAATAATTCGTAATATTGTATTTCTCTCGTAGCACATTTTTTATGCCTTTTGTATCCCGCGCACATATCGCAATAAATAAAATCAAAGTTTTGGGGCGCCACGCAGCGACACCCCACAATTGCCGTCACGTCGCAGCGTGACGGGAATTTTCTTTTTTTAAACAGGGTGTGAGCAATTGATTAACTTTCCTTCGTTAGAATGGACTCCAAGAACTAAATTGCTTAGTCGTGTTACTGGATGTTTACATACAGTTATTTGCTAGGCTGACCTTTTTTATTGTTTTGCCTACAGTTTACTTTGGCCTAAAATGTTGGCCGGCAGAATCTTCAAAAGTAAAATAAATAATAAATAAATATGTCATAAAACCGTCGACGTCACGTCCGATGACACTACGTGACTGTGACATTCATGGTGATATCGTGAAACGTACATTATCCAATGAAATAATTCAAGGCGGCGACATTAGCCGATTAAAATCTTCGAGATGGCCGGGATTAGCCAGTCAGAAATTTTAAGATGGCCGAAATTAGCCAATTGGAAACTTCATGATGACCAGCATCAGCCAGTCAGAACCTTCAGATGTCTGACATCAGTCAGTCATAAATGTCAAGATCGTGCACATCAGAAAATCAAAAACTTTATGATTGCCGACATTAGTCAATTAGAAACTTGCGACATCAATCAATTTGAAAGTTCAAGATGACCTACGTCAGCCAATAAAAAAAAAAAACATCAAGATGGCCGGCATTAGCCAATTAGTAACATGGCGACATCAGGTAACAAGAAACCTTACTGTAGCTTAAATTAGTAAATCAAAATCATCAGTTAATCAGAACCTTCAAGATATTCGACATCAACCAGTCAGAAACTTCAACCTGGCTAACATCATCCAAGCGAAAACCTCAAGATGGCCGAGATCAGCCAATCAAAGTGTTTGATAGGTGCCATTCTCGAGTGCCCACCGATGCATAATATGAGTGTGACGCCATTTTCAGGAAATATTCAGGTTCTCTAGGCCTGTGTTTCTCAAATGGGATTCCAAAGACCCGCGGGAATCCGGGAAGCCCTCGCCCCCCCCCCCCCCCCCCTCCCCTCCAAATCCTTGAAGTGTTTTTTCTTGACCTTCGCGCTAGGTGACGCAAAAACAACCACCCGGTATATCCAACCATTCATCCTTTCACTTGGTACTCCCCACTTCTTTCTATAATAGCAGAGTTTGCCTTCTCACAACACTGCAATTATTTGCGCTATCTTATACCCCCCCCCCCCTTCCCTGTTCCCCGCTGTCATGGGGTTCCCCATCACCTTGGCGGGTCTCCAAGGGGTCCCCGACACACCCATGCTTGAAAACCACTGCCTCTAGGCTATCCCCAAAGGCTTGATGAGGAAAGGCATTTTCTTCAAGAGTACTCTGTCCAAGAACGTGTTTATATTTTCTCTTCAAATAGACCTTTTGTCGAATGACTCAAGCATCAAAAATAATCCCGGGAACCTAGGTACACGCGCTGCACATGCTGGCGTCCTCAGCTCTAAGTGTTCGAAAGCCAAAGTCTAAAACAAACGACACTTTGCACGCGCGTTCCGCGAACACTTTATTTTGGTTATTCAAATATTTCTATAATTTTCTATAGGAAACGAGGGCACGTGCAGCGCGGGTACCTGCGTTCCCAACATTCTCTTGTATGCTTGGGTAATTAAAAATAAATATATTGCTGCAGAAATTATTTTAGTAGGCTTTATTTATTGTGTTATGCACTACAATGGCTGGGTTCGTACCGCCCTTCTTGCAGTGATTCATTTTGCACATACTGATTGAGCATCTATACAAACGTAGGAAAAAAAGAACTCTGAGAAAATGAATGTAAAGCTTGCGTATAACTCACCATAGGCACTCAGAGTAAAGAGATAAAAAAGGCCATTTAGAAACATGGTTGCCATTTACTACCTGGAAAATAAAATCAGAGGCATCGTGCGCAATGAACTAGGTCAAGTAAAGAAACGCAGCTAAGGCGTGACCAGTCTCGGGGATCATAGTATCCCCCCGCGGCCAATGAAATTGCAGCATTACACAAATGAAGAAGATCAAAGAACCAATCACAAAGCAAGAACCATGAATATAAGTAGACACTCCCTTTCCTTCTTAAGTGGCCAGTGCCTTTATATCGGTTGTTTCAAGCGAAACTTCCGCTGTAAAAACGAGCCGGAAAGATGGGCGCGTGCACATAGAAAGCTCAAACTTTCACTGAATAGGCACCGAGCAGGTTTGTTTTAATGTGTAAAATTAAAAAAAAAAAACGTTATTCTCTTTGTGTAAATATATACACACACATATATATATATATATATATATATATATATATATATATATATATATATATATATGTATAAAGAAAAAGGTTAGAGACAAAAAGATTTGCCAAAGTCAAGGTCGAGCGCGTTCGCAGACGACCTTTTTATACTCAGTTACAGGTTAAGAAGGTAGCGGCAAATGCCCCTCAAAGGGAATCAGATATCTCTCCGCCACCTCCGCATCCAATAGCGTCCCACCGTTTCCGTGACGTCGCGGCCAACGCGCGAGGAGGGTCTTGCCTTTCTGTACATATTTCCTTTATCTTTCGACTTTGACTTAGCATTGTGGAAGCCACGAGAGGGAGATTAGAGTTCTCCCCCACCGACGGAAACAAATACGACTTTCGGGGATTAGCTTCCCCCCCGATGGATACAAAGGCTGCTTTCAGGGGCTCGGTTCCCTCTCCGATGAATACAAAGGTCGCTTTCTTAAAAAGTGGGATCGGAGACAAGTGGGAATCCATTGAAGCGGAACAAGGAGCGTTTCCAGTGAACTCTTTTTTCGACTGCGGAGAGATTTGAAACAGGCGCATCACACTTGTGGGAGGAGCTTCTCCTACCTTCTTGACTTGTAACCGACTATAGCGATGCTATTGACTTGAGGCCCCATCTCCCGATAAGTGCCGTACCGAGCAGACAGCAGAGTGCGTCGTCTACTCGTTACGCCTATCGGGAGATGGCGCCACTCACTAGAATCAACTGAAATGCACTATTTGACCAAACTGTTACATTTCCAGCCGCCAAGCTCATTTTTCTAAGTCCCCAAGACGATTACAGTGCATTTATTATTGCGCGCAAGGTAATGTACTAATTTTTTTTTCAGTGATTCTTATTTTTTTACATAATGCTGGCTCGTGACTTTAAAGTTCCTAAAAGCTTGTAATCTCTAAAAACTACGTCCGCGGCCCTTTTCTTTGGAATTTCTGAGAATTCAACATTCTTTAGAAAATACTATTGATGTCGCGAAGTGACTTATCGATGGTGTGGTGGTGGAATGTTTTGTGAACATTTTTCCAGATGATGCGCTTGGCTACTTCTAAGTAGCCAAGTGCACTTCTGAGAATGCTAGGCCATATAGTTCTAGCTTTAACAAAGGTGAGAATAATTAATACGCATTTTAATTTTTCATAGGAACGTGATTTAAAAAAAAAACTAAATTTAGTTTTTCTAGTACGGTTGCACAGGAGCAGGGTTTGTAGTACGGTTGAGTTCAGTGGCGGTTTAGTAGAATCTTTGGGGTTTGGCTTTTCAGAAAAGGTAACAAAAGGACAATGCCGGGCATAAAGAAGTGGCGCACTAGGTTTTCATGTTATTTTTATTTTTTTTTGGCT